CCTCTCCTTTATGGTAATGGAAATACCAAACATTGTAAGTTATGTAGAACTAAAAGTATATTCATATATACTTCAACATCAGTCCTTCACACATGGCCAGTTATTATTTGCAAAATCACTGACATACCCAAATGGGAAAACACACCAGTGCAAAACAAAACCAGAAGAGCCATAATTGAAAGATCTTAACACTGGAAATTTGTTTTTTGGAAGAATAGGGTTTTATGTTCAAAACTCGGATTTTCAGCCATTTTTAAATGAAAATAGTTGGATGTGGAGTGGAAATGTGCCAAGACAGCTGTTGAAAAGGACTCTCTAATATAGTGTAATAGTTTGTTATTGCAACCTTGTGTGGACAACATGAACAGAAAATGTTTCAGGGCACATGTGTCTTAAAAAAAGAGTTAATTTTTGTTATTATAGTTTAGACAAGTGAATCATGAAAAAAATAATTGCCAAAAAGAAAAATTATATTGGATGAATTTTTTACATACAATTTAAACTTATGATAGAAATGATCTGTTTAGGTATATATATGCGTCTATAAAAATAATTATTTGCACATTGTTTGTTAGTACTACCAAAGTTCTGTTATTTTTGTTCCAGTTAAATATGTTGAGGATTGATGATTACAAGAAGTATTTTTAATATATCTTCTATTACTCAATTACATCATAATACATTGCAATCAGAGGATTTATTCATTGAAATGCAATTAACCCTTCAAGCCTGATTACCATACTGTATGTGCAAATTCTCCTTACTGGTCTCTTTATGTTTCCTTTAGTACTAGTTGGGGGAATTTGTTAACAAAGTTCAAGGCAGTGTCTATTTGGTGATACCTTCCTTAATTCCCACAACTTTTCCTATGACTATGCTGATACTATGAAGAGAAATTTAATCTTGATCAATCTTGGAGCTTAAAGGGTTTTAAGTAACAAAACTTTATTCACAACTTTTAGCTTGGTCAGATTGAAGGTTGTGTCAAGTGCACAATCCATATTCATCTTGCACTTGATAAAATCATATGGAAATTATTTGGTGAAAATACAGATGATTTAAATTAACAGACTTAGTAAGTTTCCTTCTCAAGCCATAGTTTTTCACATAGTGCATTCTGGACTTTATTTGCCTTCACTGAGACATCCCTGATGCTTGAGCAATTTCTCATCTGCAACAGCTTTCTTATTTCCTCTCGATTCTCTTTTGACCATTTGCATCCAAACTCAAGTCAAGCTTTTTAGAAATTGCATCTCCTTGTGCAATACATGTATTATGGAGAACCATGCATGCCCAAAAGCACCCTGACTGTAACCATAAGGGCTCTGCTTAAGCGGTAATTAAAGTTCCGTTGCTGGGGTGCCAGAACTGCATTGGTGTATGGTTTTGTCAACCATGTGTGCAGAGGGAATGCAGAGTCTCCCACTATAAGTGGTGGGACAGTAACATTGCCTACAGTTTTTCCAATTACAGGAAGGAAGCCTTCTTTGATGCGGGTCCAAAGGTCAGTGGATCTAAATATGACTGCATCATGAGAATTTCCTGGAAACCCATAGCTGCCCCACACAAATCTGTAATGTGAATCTACCACATTAACTCAAGTCAAGCTTTTTTGAAATTGAGTAGAAATTCTTAAAATTATGGTACTCTTTGCATGCCTGTAGTCCTCCAGATGGGCATTTCATGGGAATATGACAACCATCTATTGCTGTCCAGCAGCAAGGAAATTGCCAAAATTCTTCAATGTTGAGAATTTTTTGTTTGAACTCCTCTCCTGTCTGAGGCATGTGAGTTGACACAGTCTCATTCCATAAATGGTTCACCAGGACTTGACAGACTTCCTGACAGATTGAGGAGACAGTGGAGATACCTAGTCCAGACATTTCTGAAATGGTATAGAGATGATCTCCTCTGCCTAGTCTGTACATCTGTACAGACAAATAGCAAGCCTCAGTGCTACATTATTGGTTCTTCTGTAACAGTTTGCCGAGTTTGCAAGAAAAACAAGCTCTTCATTTCCACAATTTGCCTTTCCCGCAATTTTTCCTGCCATTTTTAAGCAATAATTGCTGACTACAAGTGTCATATTCACTTTTGCAATTAAGTTCGACCCAATTGGGTTTGACGTTTGAATCAACTGCCGAACTCAATTATTTGGGTCAACCCAAAGTGGTATTAGGTTCAGCACATGTAAAGTTCGACATCTGAACTGGGTCTCAGTTGTTTCTTGTAAAGTATGGATGGTTGGTTGGTTGCATGTGCACTTTCATTAATGCTAAAACCAGCAAAAATTAGTTTCACTTGGTTTAAATAAAAGCCCAAGCTATGATTTGACAACATTTTCACCATAACTCAATGTCTACCATGGAAATGACCATGTTTACCCTAGACTCTTTTCTAATCCGTTAAAGAATGACTATGTGACATGAGGTAACACTTCACCATTACTGTAGTTAATTCAGAATTCAGCGTTTTATGTTCCTTAAAATTATTCTCCATTCACACCAGCAAAACATGTTAAGTGAAACCAGGTTCAACTGAGTGAAAATCAAATAAAAAACAAACAACTGAAAAACTCAATTTCCATAGGATTCAAGTAATTACAAACTTGTATCTTCAATGAGCTACATTGGAACTTAAAAAAACATTGTACTGTTGAGGAAGCTTCTAGGAACAAAACATTTTAAACCAGAAAACAGCAAAAAGACATTTTTAAGTTTTGTTGTGAGTGGTGTGTAACACCTAGGCAAATTGTTCAGCCCCACCCTCTATTGATTCATTAGTATCCTGCTGTGATTTCTCTTAGTATTTAGTATTGGCCTGGTTAGAATTAAGCTATAGGAACTTTCCTTTCTTTTGTTTTTCTTGATTTTCCTCCTAGCTGCTATATAAACAATTGCTGGTTTCATTTTGTATGAAATCTTAATAGAACCCTTGTAGCAAAGTACAAGTATTGGGTTTGAAAATTGGGAAATATCATTTGGGGTGTATCCTTGGATATTCCCCTGTTTTAGTGAGGGAATATTTGGTAATGTGATGCTTTTAGACCATGATGGATTATTGTGGTTGATATATTGTAATCCATCAAATACATTTGCTTGAATGTAATTGTCAACTAAATGCATGGTGGGACCTATCATACTGCCCAGATAAAACTGGGAAATATATAGAAAACAGCCTCCATTTGGCATGCAAATATGCATGCTTAGTTTTCAGTGGAAATTATCAGTTCTGAGATGTAACCAGTTTTCTGCAAGCAAAGGAACACATAATTACCATAGACAAATTAATGGAGGCTATCGCGTTTATTATTTTTTAAATGTTTCTGCAATATGCAGGCAAAATGTTTACAAACAGCTTACAGTTTGCTTTGTGGGATGTTTATTTTTTAGAGTTCTCCAGCATGACTTTATGAACAAAACAATTGACATGTCCCTTCTTCTGTAACAAAAGCTAAATGCTCTTTCATCTTGAATTAAATTGCACAAATGCAAATTAGGTCAAGCTCTGGAAGTTATGTACTGCTGGCCTTTCAGGACCCATACCCCATAATAACTGAATGTTAAATATTATAGGTAACATCTCTTTAACCACAAATCTTCCCATTTTTAAATCCTTACTAGCCAGAATTTTCTCTACCCCAGATCTTGAAAAAGGACCACCCCATCCTTATATGGGTATTGAAAATGCAACCTCATTATAGTTAATCCAGTCTTGAAAAATATGACGCATCCATTGGCATATCCTCGTTAGCAAATTACTGAGATGTAACCCCTTGCAAAGATCATTTATTTATAAAAAATTACAGTGATCACATTAATTCCATTTCTTTCAAAACTAGAATTACCCTTTACCACACACCCTGACAAGTTGTGAAAACAGGTTTTGCCTTCACAAATGAACGGACGGACGGGGACAACTCTTAAAAACTCTTTCTGGGTAAAGGCTTTCCTTGGGGGCACTCGCTGGCTGCGGGAAGGAAACCGGAATCTATTACGGCTGCTGACTATCCTTGAGAGAATGACTAACAACAACAGGGTTGGCTCCAACGTAGATTTATTCTGCAAGCTCTATTACAATTTTGACCAGAACGGACCTGGCCAGGGCTGGTTCGACCCCGCTCTTCTTTCTCTTCTCTTTTCTTTTTCCTCTCTTCTCTTAAGCTTTACAAAACAGTCCTATTTAAGCCTAACGTACATGGATAACGTAACGCCATGAATAATCTTAAGAATCATGTAATCCACTACATGCACTATTGCAGGGCGTGAAATTAACTTTTTTTTCTGATAGCCACTTGGCTCCTAAATTCTTCAAAGTGGTAGCCAATTCAAAAAAAGTTGGTCGCCATTTTCAAAGACAAACAAAATCTTTCTTTACGCTGTCAGCGTTCTAGATAGACCCTCCAAAATTAAGTTAGGGAAAAGATCTTTAACGTGCTACAAAGTGGACACTAGGATGGATGATATACAACGTTCAGGCTCATCTAAATCCAAGATGGCGTCTAGTTGTCGACCGAGAAGCACGTGCTACGTTTTAGAAACAAACTTAATAAAGAAGTTTGCCGCGGATTTATCTTTGCAAATCTTTTTAATTTACTATATCTCTTGGTAAGGTTATGATGAAACGTTCTAGTCGCCAATTTGGCGACTAACTTTCAGGATTTGGTCGCCAAAGTGAAAAATTTAGTCGCATTGGCGCCTGTATTAGGCGCAATTTCACGCCCTGTATTGGCAAAGCAGGAATTTCGCCTTTTACAACATTAATTACTTTTAAAGAGTTCCGGTGGATAACAATTACACTAAAGGACATGACAGGTGGCTGTTACAGTTTAACACTAATAACAACTGTTTACGGGTGGCTGAAGGAGAACTGGTAGCGTTTACGCTTTGCTGAACTAAGCTTTCCACGTTGAATATTATATTTTTTAAGCGCAAGCATGAAAGAACTCGATAACTAAAAATCCTTTCGTTACAAAGTACTGTGAACAACAGGCCCACTTGGTCATCGCCAGTTTTCTTGGGAGACATGGGAAAGGAAGTACATTTGTTAGTTGTTGGACTAGACACTCTCAAATTTAATCTTATTACATGGAGACTGAAAACCCTATCCAAATGTAGTATTGTAGAAGTTAAAAAAAGAAACTTACGTTAGAATTGACTATCTCATATCTAAGGTTGGCAGAAAAGGGGTTAAGTAAGAGTCTACCATATTGACTGTTACTGGAAGTAAATATACGTTTACTTGCATTGTGTTTATAATTATCTCGGCGCGTAATCTCCTCGCTTATAACTTTCTAGGTGTTTTCCTTAAGGATGGAGGTCATGCAATCAAAAGCAACGATCTAATACAACTGCAGAAAGTTTCCATCTTCAAGGAGAGAGAGTGACCATATAGCATTTTTGCGGGGACGAAAAGAGAACCCATGTAACTGACTATTTGACTTATAAAAATGTCTGCGAAGGGAGCTCAACTTCACGATGAAAGTGGCAACGTACCTACCAAAGGAGGAGGAGGAAACAGTATTAGTGCCGATTGGGATTCTGATTGCTGTCATCGAAAGGAAGAAGATCAGTTAGTTCTAGCCAAGAGCCCTACGCGTAAAGATAGACAGGGAAGTGACGATGTTCCATCTTTACAGCGAAAAAGTTGCAGACGTAAACCGCGGTGGTGTACTCTAGAACAACTCCAGAAAACCAGTGGCAAACAGTTTGGCGACACTGTAGAGACTCCAAAGTCGGAAAGGAATCTTGGTCACAGCACTAAGATGCAACACCAACCTAAAAACAATAGAAAATCTTTTACAAGTGACGTTCACATAACGTCTACTCAGGACGCCCAAAAAGGGCTGCCCACTTCCGGTGTTAAGAGCAAGAAAATGAAGAAACTAAGGGAAGCAATTGAAAGAGAATATCGGAGGACTGAGGCAGTCCTTCCAATGTACGAGAAAAAAAACGAAATTGTTCAGCTCATAACGGAAAATCAGGTCTGCGTTATTCTTGGAGAAACCGGATCAGGTAAAAGTACACAGATGACCCAATATTTGTACGAGGCTGGTTTTTCTGAGAAGGGTTTAATCGTTTGTACCCAGCCACGTAAAGTTGCTGCGACAAGCTTAGCATCCCACGTCGCTCGAGAAATGGGGAGCACTGTTGGAAAAGTAGTGGGCTGCCGTGTTGGAGGAAATGTTCAAGCAAGTAAAGAGATGACTGGTATTGTGTACGTTACAGACCACATTCTCCTCAATGAGTGCCTAAAGGATCCTAAGCTGTCCAAGTATTCTTGCATAATAATTGATGAAGCACATGAACGAAGTCTTTACTCGGACCTGCTTCTTGGCATGATCAAGAAAAGCCTTACTCAGCGTCCTGAGCTGCGAGTGGTCATAACCTCAGCTACCATTGATCCTTCTATCTTCGTGGCATATTTTGACCAATGTCCAGTACTGAAAGTGTCCGGCAGAATGTTTCCCGTCGATGTAATTTGGAAAGATGGTCCGTCTTCCAACGTTGAAAATTATCTTCAAGAGGCTGTAAAAACAGCTCGCGAAATTCACCACAGGGAGGATCCAGGGGACATTCTTGTGTTTCTGACTTCTCCAGCAGAAACGGAACGTGCTTGTGAAATGTTAACAAAGGTTGAGCGGGATGCTAACCTAGTTTGTCTTAATCTCCATGGAAAGCTACGTCAAGAAGAGCAAAAGAAAGTGTTCGAAGAAGCCGGAGACAAACGTAAGGTGGTATTTGCTACCAACTGTGCGGAAACCTCTATCACCATTCCCGGGATAAAGTATGTAGTGGACACTGGTATGGTGAAGGAAATGAAGTTCGAACCGAAACGCAAGAAAAGTTCTTTAGAGGTAACAACCATCAACAAAAGTTCTGCTGAACAGCGAAAAGGAAGGGCAGGAAGGATACAAGCAGGGAAGTGCTTTAGACTCTACAGCCAAGAGGAGTACGAGGCAATGGAAGACCAATCAAAACCAGAGATCCTAAGGGTTCATCTTGGTCAGGTCGTGCTGAAGCTGATGGAACTTGGCATTGAAGATGTCAGAGACTTTGATTTTGTGGAATCGCCATCTTTTGACTCAATAACCCTTGCATTAGAGTTGTTGAATTCTCTTGGTGCGATAACAAACGGAAGACTTACACAGTTGGGAGGCAAAATTGCTCGTGTTCCGCTAGAGCCACGCTTGGCAAAGGTCCTATTTGAAGGCATTGACAAAGGTGTAGGTGCAGATGCGTTAGCGTTGGTAGCCATTGCAACTGCAGGTGGGAGCGTTTTCTTCCGCATGGGAAGCGGAGAGGAGAAGCAGGCAGCTGACTGCAGAAAAGTTTGTTTCTGCCTGAATGGCGGTGACCTACTGACGTTGTTAGAAGTGTACAGGCAATACCTCAAGCAACCGAAAGATTTACCTAAACGAAACAAATGGGCGGTTGCCAACAGCTTTAATGCAAAGTCGCTTCGAATGACAGACGGGACCATCAAAGAGCTCAAGCTGACGTTAAAGCATGAATTGGGCGTAACGATCCCGGATACGTTGCAGCAAGACGAGAACACTGATGTGAAACTTCAAAAGATTTTGTTGTCTTGTTATGCCACCAACTTATGCGTATTTACTGGCCACGAGAAAACAGGATACAGAGTGTTGTCTTCAAACCAGTGTGTTCAAGTGCATCCATCGTCAGCACTTAAGTATCTTGGGGCAACGCCTCAGTTCATCGTCTTTGACCAACTGCTCAAAACGTCTCGTGACTTTGTCGTCAACGTTACCACTGTGGAAGAGACGTGGCTGCGGGAAATGATTTCTACAGGAGCTCTCAAGTATGACTTGGAAAACCTACTTTCAACTGTACTGACCGAAATGGTAGTGCCATGCAGTACAGAGCTCATGAAGTTAACGTTTGAAGGATGCAGAGGAGGAAATCTTAATCAAATCGAGAGGAAAATCGCGAAGTCATGCGATGACAGCTTAGTTGTGTTAGAGGAGGACAGAGTTCGTGGGCAAATAAAAGTATTCGTTCCTCCAAAGTACACGGCGAAAGCTCTGTCAATGATGGAGAGTATCTTGGAGGAAAGCAGAAAGATACTGAGGAGTGAGGAAAGAGAGGAGCCTCTGAAAGAAGAATCTTTGGGAAACAGAATTGTTTGGGGACAAGGCGGTGAAATATACGAAGTACTGATGCCGGACATGTACAGAACTGTCACGGTTGATGAGATAGAAGATGGCAACGCAGTGGCTGTATTAGATCACCTTAAAACCTTTGGAGACGTAGTGAGGCACAGTTTTAAGGAGCAGAATGGTAAAATGGGCATTTTTGTAACTTTCAAACGTTCTAAGGATGCGATTAACGCAGTGAAAAGCTCTTCCAACTCCTCTCTGGAAACTGACGTAAAAGTAAAGCCAGGATTTATGATGTCCAGTAGCATCCAAAGAAGTGTTTCTCCGTTTGAAGCGAAAGCCAAGTGGATCCGACGTCGCGGTAAAGGTACAGCATCTGTGGAATTTCACAACTGTCAAGATTTTTATCGCACGCTTGGTAGAATACCATCACTTATGATTAAGTCAGAGGTTATTATTTTCCAAACGGATAAGGTTCGCGAACATCAGATATTCCTGAAAGGACTCCACCCCGACACGTCAGAGGAGGACGTAAGGTCTGCTATCGAAGAGAGACTCCCTGTGGTTAAAGTGAAGAAAGTTTATATTTCCCGAACTTCAGAATTTGAAACACCTGCCAGAACTATCTATGCACAGAGGGCTTCCTTGCAGGAACGTCTCAGCGTCTTGGCGACAGAAGGCCAGTTTTCAATAGACTTGAAAAAGCCTTCTCCCAAAGATTTTGAGGGATATGCTTACCTATCATTTCAAGATCCTGAAGAGGGTCAAGCAGCCATAAGAGCTCTTAATGGAACGCATGTTCCTGGTATCGGAGTTGTAACCCTGCATCCCAACCATGCAACAGTCTTGCTATGTGACAGAAACGTTTACGCAGCCATCAGAGGTGAATTCGAAGAAACAATCGACACTTTAGACGTAACATTTAACACAAGACTGAATGTGAAAGTCAAAGATCAGCCAAAGCATAAGCGTGTTGTCATACAAATACAAAGTAACTGTACGGAACACTTCATATGTGCTAGCACTGCTTTAACCAAAATTGTCAATGGTGATGAAATTGACTGCAAAATTTCTAAAAACCTGGAGATTCTATTAACTAACTCAGCGAAAGACGTACTTCAAACAATTGAGAGGGACAGTAGAACCGTGATCAATCAAGATTGGAAGAACGAGGTTGTCAGAATTTATGGACCCAAAATAAACCGAGAATCAGCAAAACAAGCTATAAACAAGTTTCTTGATGATTCCATCGCTGGCAATAGCCACTCTTGGCAGATTTATCTTCGAGGGCCCAACAAGCCCCGCGGACTGCTGAAAGCTCTGTTTATAAGGTTTGGTGCTAATCTGCAAGGATTACGAGACATAAATGGTGTCCAGAAGATCCATGTTGAATTTAGAAACCACGTACTCATCATAGAGAGTTCAGACGAGGCTGAAAAACTAATCAACAGTTACGTGGAGGAATGCTGCAAAAATCCTCCCCAAGAATTGTTTCCTGTACAACAAGACCACGAAACCCAATTAATTTGTGGTATATGTCTATGCGATTTGGATACAAAAGCAGGTGTGTACCGACTTGCTTGCTGTGGTCACGCCTACGATAAGAGCTGTGTCATTCAACAACTCAAGTCACCAGAATTTCCACTGAAGTGTGTCATGGAACAATGTGGAGAGCCTCTTGTTTGGAAGGATTTGCGAAACTTGTTGAATGACCGTGAAAGAAAGAGGCTCGCTTTAACCGCATTGGGTGAGTACGTCAAAAAAAATCCTGAAATTGTGAAATACTGTCCAACAGCGGGCTGTGACATGGTATACTGTGTCTCAACTGATGAGAGACCCTTCACCTGTGATGCATGTCTAGCTCAAACCTGCACATCTTGTCATGTGCAATGGCACAGCGGGCTCACGTGCGCTGAGTTCAAATCGGAAGTGCAAGCAGGAGGGACGTCTCCTGGAGTGGATGATGAAGGACCCAAGAAATAGTAAGAAATGTCCTAAATGCAAGACATGGATTGAGAAGAATCAGGGATGTAATCACATAGAGTACATGTGTTGGCTGTGCCTGCAGGTGTTTCCAACCAGGAACGATGTGTACGATTATTGACACTTTCCAAATAATACTGCAGCATGAATACAATACTGTTTATGCAGACATACCCTTGACAATTAAAGTCATTGGTTGATATTTCATTTTTAGTGGTTTTGAACTTTTCACGTTGAGGACATTGCTTCAGAAGTTGTTCAGTGATAAACTAGACTTAGTAGATGGCTTGAAAATTGCCTATGAATGATGAAAATGGACAAGTCACTAAACAATATTTTTGTTAGAACATGTAGTCAGTTTAGAAAGGGGAGAGCACTCAGTTCTCTCCTCGAGTGTACATAATTTCACTCTTATTCTTTTATGTCTGTAAGATTATTTCTTGGTTGTAAGGTTCAGATGAAGGGCACTATGGTAGTGGGTAGTATGATAATTGAAGGACAGAAGTTTGAACCAGAAGCCCTGTCTGTGTAGTCCTTTAATTATAAAGATGACACTTAATTATTTCTGAGTTCTAAGCCATTTTATTTGGATGCATTATGCAGCTAAACTGGTACCTTGAGTATATAATAACTCTTCAGTTTATTATAAAACTCTTGATTGGTCACTAATGAGTCCATACATGTAAATAAGTAACAGAGTGCAGTACAGGAATTCTGCATTGCACTTTGTTGAAGTAAAAGCTTTTAAAAGTCAACAAAAATTACTGATTTCTAAAATAGTTACAAAAGCATACAGCTAGTGTTTTCCTCCACAGTTATTGTTGTAATGGACCAATTAGAGAAAAGCGTGATCATTTTCCCAGTTTTTCTTGGTAAGTGGTGCGCAGTGCATAGTTTAATTCTATGTTATATGTATCACTTTGTTTGAGTTGCCAGAGCTTTGAATTAATGGTAGTTTAGCACTGTAAATTGTTTGTTTGCCAACATTTTCATTATAGACAAAAAAAAAGTCATAAAAGACATAAGGTAATAAAAGGTTTTAGAAATTGATAAAGTTTGCACTATTTGAACCTTAAAAAAAAATTAATTGATTTCCAGCAGAATTTTCCCAAATTGTTCTTGGTCTGTTTTAGGTTCCCTAAACAACAGCATGCAACCCACATTTCTAGGTTTCCAACATTTTCTATATAAATTAATAGGTAACATATTTTTTTTAATTTCCTGCACTTAGTTTCACTGACTATTTATGTTGGCCCTGAATTTATTTCTACCTTACCAATTTCCACCTAAAAAAAATAAAATTAAAAAAAAAAATTGGTTGAGTTTGAAATCTCCATGATGAAGAAAATTTATGCTAGTTAGGCTGAGAGTGTTTACGAGTTTGGCACCTGATACCAAGTTTGTTTGAAGAGTGTATTCTCACAGTTTCTTTTGGCTTCAACACAAGTAATTTTTCCAAGGAATCTTCACATCCTAATTTCCAGAGCAAAAATATTGATTGGAAATTGTTCCCCACCTCCTCTGGCCATTTCCTCCACAACCCTAACAGAGCCCACCCTCCTCTAGCTCATCTTCTATGGCCTGTTCATTGCTTGCCTCTTTTTGACCTGTGTAGTTTAATTCTGGGTTTGCAGACAGCTGTGGGTCAGTTTTTAAATGGTCATCATTTGAATTTGTGACAAGTCTTTTTTCTGTGAATCCTTTTGCTCCTGTGTCACCTGGAACACGAAGACTTCGAGACAGCTTGGCAATCTATAGGGTGAGAAATGTTTTGCCTTGAAATTGTAACTACATGTGTTGGAGAATGTTTGTTTTGTGAATAGCACACTGACACCATTGCATGTTCAGGTCCAAGCCGTGGATCATTGTGTTGTTTTTCTAAGCACAACACTGAACTTTAAGAATGTTCTCTACATCCTTGTATATCAAATGGGAACCAAGAAACATTAATGGAAATTTGATGAGCTAAGCACCCCAACCCAAAAGGGGTAGCAATATTCATAGTTGTCTCATCTTCATGAAACTGGGATAAGCCCAAGGATAAAGGGTCCAGCAAACCCAAGAACTTCACCACTGTGCTATGTCTACTTAAAATGTACTCCTGTTTTGTCTTATAGTAAGTGCATAAGCTTATATTGTTAAAAAGGGATAGACAATGTTGAAGATGCTACCAGTTTTAGTTCATGTGACTAATTAGGAAATACAGGAAAAATTGAAGTGAAAAAAACAACTTATGCAGTTTTTGTTGGAGTCTCCCAGTTTGTGCAGGGTCTGATTTATTCAGAGCAATTAAACAATAATAATGATAACAATTACTGAACAATATTGTAAGCATTTCATATTGTCACTAAGGACATAGTTACCAGTAAATAGCCTACCTAGTCAGCTCAGTGGCATGATCTCAACAACGAAATAAATTTGCAACAGATTCAAAAGCACCTGAGCAACTGTATTAAAATACAGTTGCTCAGATGATTGTTTTGAAAAACAATAACCAGGTGTTTGTCCTAAGCCCAGTAAATATGATTGAATAATGAAGTTAATATCAGTAAGAATAATCATAATAATAACAGGGAGGTGTCTATTTAGGAGAATAGTTCAAAGTAGCCCACTGCTTGGACTACCTGCATTTGCCAACCTTAATTATTTTGACAAGAAGGAACTGTTTTCTCTCAACATTTTCAAATGCCATTTTCAACTCACCTCATTGTCTAAGTATGTAAAGAGAGCTTGTGATGTACAACTTTTCAATCCATCAGCATCACCTTGATCAAAACAGTTCAAAACTTTTTCAGCTGCAACTGCTTCCTCTGAACTGCCAAACCCTGGAATTCTGAAGATAGGAGAAAGTCTGTTTTATGACTCATTGCCTTCAGCCTTGAATTTCACTGCTGGTCTTTGAATATTAGTAATCAGTTCAGTATTAACTGGATTATCGATATCATTCCTCCAATTGTATAGAATTTTCATTAAAATCACATAGGAAGTGCCACAAAATTTAATGCTTAGGCTTAACAAGTCAATTTTGGTTTTTTTGGATGATTCAATAGAACACCAATAACAACAAACACAACAACAGAAACAGCCATTAACCCTTACATTATGAATACAATATTGAGCAGACAAATTATAAAAAAAAAAGAAAAATGTCAGTAAGGGGATTTCCAGAATAAGTTGACCAAATTCTCCAAACTAACATCATAAGAATTGTATAGAAGACTTTAAGGAGATCCGGGAGTGAAAGGGTTAAAGAGACCTTTAGAAGATATCTTGAACTATCTCAGGTGTTATGACAAAATAAGGTGGATAGGATAGCATCTTGTAACCTTGGACATGGAATAATTTCATTTTCATGGATCTTGGTTACTTTTCAGTAGGTTATTAGTCAGTCATACATACCCCTGGATGTATTATGTCTCATATGTCACTGTAATGTTTTGGCCAAAAAATCATCCAAGAAATCACTTAGCAAACTAATGCTAAGAGGAAATTTTCAAACTTACTCAAAAGATTCTTTGTAACAGTTATCTGCAGCTACATAGTCACTCTCATGAAGATGAACAACAACCATGCTGAGAACAACCTGGGAACATTTTACAAACAAATGAGTGCTACATCAAAAACATGACAGCTGCCAAAGATTACATCATAACAAGTTGGTGTAATTTGATTAATTGTGCGTGATGTAAAATGCACAAGATGAATAATTAGCAGCTCACACAAGAAGCACAGAAAGAAATGGGTGCCTGAATGTCCAGATGGTTAAGAAGATTTTGTGTCTTGGAGGTAAATTGATTTCAGTGTAGATAAAGTTTCACCAAACACACAAAATGAATGAAAAAACAAGGATAAAACAGGCATAGTCTGATTCCTAAGACAGTAGTCTGATTCCTAAGACAGTAAAAAAGTCACTCCCACACACAGGAACCAAAAAGGAATTTCTCCCGACCATATAAATGCAATTTCAGGCAAATGGGATGGAAGGGGGGGGGGGAGGGAAGAGTACCAAATATGGGATGTTCTTTGATTGACAGTCAGATTCTCAGAGAATTGACAATCAAGTCTCAGAGGTGAAAGGGTTGAAGTGTCAAGGGTGTTAAGAGTGAACTAGGTTGTTCATAACATTTAAAATTAAAAAATAAACACCAATTTATAATGAAAAAAAGAATACCTTGAACATCATTTGAAAGTTCTCCACTTGCTCATATAGTTTTATCTGTTGTCTCATAACCTTCAGAGCCTCTGGAAATCTACAAAATACCGAGAAGTCAGAGTGAAAAGTGCTTGAAAGTACTAAATGAAAAAAGTGAGATTTGTCTTGACTTCACATCTACTGCACACCTACACCATGCTGTCAATTTAGATTCTCAGCCTACAAAGTGATAGAACTATAATTAACATGCAGTACCATCATTGTATCAAAAGAAAAAAAATCAGAAAAATTAGTCAAAAGTAGAACAAACAAGCCTCAATCTGTCATGAACCTCTTTGTATTGAGTTCCCTGCTAAATCAAATACTGGTATTTCTCCATCACCAATTGAAATTGTAGAAGTAAATAACTGAAGTTTAGTCTCTTGAAAGGCTGGTAAAGATGCTTCTATAGGTGTAAAAGTTAAAATTACCTTCTTAGTTTTAAAAGAAGGTTGATAGCCTTTGACAAAGGTTCAATGGCCTCCCTAACTTTGTCTTCAGACTGTGATATAAAGACACAACATACATAAAATAAGAAAATGTCTTGGATACAATATATGGTTAAACCAAAAGGTAAAATTTGATCCTGTAGTCTGAGTGGTCCTGAGAAGGACTGTTGGAGAGAGTAGTGACTCATCATAACAGACGACTAGAAGAACAGATGTAAATGTGTGTCTGGTACTCTGTCTTCAACAATGGATCATTTGCATGTACTTTTCTTCTCTCTCATTGGATAATGTTTATATCATTTCAGGCACATTTCAAAATGAGTCTATTACCACTCTTCTAGCTTACATTTTTGGCTAATTGTGATAAACTGAACAGCAGTTGTAAAAAAGAGTCAGATTGGAGATGTTGCATTTGCATGCTAGTATCAAATGTAGTATGGTGTACATACAACATTCATTTCACTGGCTGAGATGTATAACTCAGCTGCCTTTGCTGGATCACTGTTATCGCACATCCTAAAAACAGCAAAATAAAATTTAGCCAGGTGATATGAATGAGCCACAAGAAGCCACGTGTACTTTGTGTATGAATTCTTCAAACCATTTCAATTTTCTCTGAATAAGACTTATGTTTAAAAACAGGACTTGTCAGTTAAAAGAATAAGATGAAGGCACCTTGTATACTTAAAAAATTTTGAATCACAAATATTGAAAAGGAATTTTACCAACCAGCAATCATTTCTCAGAGTAACCAAATGCCTCTCTACTGTACAATAAAAATATCTTGCATGGAAAAAATCTCTTCCCTGCCTTCTTTCCATTTCTCCCAGAATAATTTTTATTTTCCATGTTTTATAGGTCCGAAAAACTATTGTAGATGTCTATAATTTTAACTTTTTACCAGGTCTGATTCTAGTTGACAACATCTGCCATAGAACAAACACATATCACATAGCGGTTCAAATAAATAAATGTATTGAGGCTACATCACTAAGCAATGTTCAAGTAATGCACTGTAGGTAAATTTTAATCTCAGATAAAATGTTTTTTCCATGGGTTGATTAACACTTTCCTTTGTCTCCTTTCTTTGATTTTAAAAGAAATCTATAATCAACCTTGATGGAAAACTTTTACCTGAAATTTAAAGGTTGACTCACTTGGCTCCTCTGATGAGGGCAAAAGCCCCTGTATCTGGGTTACCACTTTGTCTGTACATCTCACTGCCTTACAATAATAAGTTATCAGTTATTAGTACTGTAATGTGTTAGGAACTATGGAAAAAGATGAAACACAAGCAAACTTGTATTAAGCAGTCACCCACAGGGAATGGCAGGGTGACTGCTTAATACAAGTTCTTCAGAATAGGAGTGACATAAATATGACAAACAAAATGCCATTTTGTTGCCAAAAATTGACCACTTAATGTACTCCCTCAAAAATACTACTAACATTGATTTACAGAGAGAAACATGGATTAAATGATACTTGAAAAATCATTCTTAGTTTTATTTGAGAGGTTCTGCCTTATAAAATATGATCATTAAATACTGGTGGAAGACAATACAAACTGGCCTTTGAGAGTCACTAAAAGGTGACAAAAGCCACTGTGTATGTGCAGGAGAATGGTGTAGGGACCATTCACTGTGAGTTTAAAATCACTTCACTGAACAGCTTACAGAGCAAACATACATGTAGCACCAAATTGTTTTACTAATTGTCCTTAATCAGTAAAGAGATCCTTTCAAAGAAGAAAAAACTGGCAAAAATTAAATGCCTCAAAAACATTATTATCTTCAATATAATTTTTTAAAAATCTGGGGTGGGGTTGGGGTTGGGGTTGGGGTTGTGTTTCCTTTTTTTTTTGTGGTGTCCATCATTCTGGGCATTTAAATGTATTACATGCTGATGTACCTCAAAGATTTAATGGAATTCAGTTAAATGTCTAATATAAGAGTGTGCTGTTACTCAACTATTGGTAAAAGATATATTTGTCTCTGTTGAACCCTTTCACTCCCATGAGTGACCATGCTTGAGCATTAAATGGAGAGAGAATATTTTTTAAGGGTTTTTATCTATTAACCATTCAATGTTCTATCAAAGCAGAGAAAATGAGCAATTGGCAAAATACAACTCCCACAAAACGTTCATGCTGCATCATAAGCAAACAATTTAATTCTCATTAATAAGTTTAAATTGCTCTTAATTATTTAAAGTTCTTGTCCTTGCCTTGATAATTCTATTACAAACTCTTACATATTCTTAACAGACATAATAAAGGAAACAGAAAAGTATTTACACTGCTCTTTCCACCAAAGAAACAGCCTCTGTTACATTTTTCATTTCCTTTAGTACTGAAGCAGCTTGTTCTAAAGCCCTATTAAGTAGAATAAAGAAAAATACCAGTCAGTTCCTTTAAATAATTAGGATAAAGTGTTTTAAAGAATTCAATCAATTTGGCTGTGGAGAACTCTCTCTGGGCAAGAGAGATCAAAGAGGAGCAAGGATATCTTATAACATCTATGTAGAATTTACCAAGTATTCACTGGTGCTAAGTACCCCCAAATCAGCTGCACTCATGAAACCAGGCTAGCTTTAAGAGTATATGTTTAAAAGCATAAAAAGCTTGCTTGTATATTTTTTTCAACAAAATAAATTACCAGTATTACTGTGAGAGCAACTCTGAATCTTAGATGTGTGGAATAACTTTCCCAAATGAAAAGCAAACAAAACTTTTGAGTTGGGTAGCTTTGCCTAACTCTTTAACCCCTATGAGTTACGATAGTAATAACTTTCTCCTTATAATATCAAATCACAAATCAAAGGCATAAGAATAAAGGAAATGATCAGAAACTAAATATTAAGCTCTTGATTTTTCACCAAATTCTCCTTGTCATCACCTTAAGAAATGTGTAGAGGGCAGTACAGAGAATATACACATTGATGTGAGGATGCAAAGGATTCAACAACAGGCACAGTCAAACATCTGTACATCTAAACAGTTGCAAAATTCAGGCTCCTTAAAATCCTTCCACTATGTTTGCTTCAGCCTTTAACTCTCAGAAGTGATTAACATCTACATGTAACTTCTCCCTAAAATATCCATTCATTATCCCCCAAACAAGTGGAGAATAACCCCAAATCATCAGGTCGAAGTTATTACCTAGATCTAAAACCAAACTCTTGTAAGTAATTTACAAGGACATATCTTGCAGCTGGAGGGGAGATTAAAAATCAAATCTTGACAGTTAAAGGTTAAATAATTGCTACCACCCTGTATCTGCATCCACTTACTTTGCTGCATGGAACAAGCTAAAATACGAGACACGTATGTTAAGAAAAACAGAAATACTGCATCTATCATAGACCTGTTTAAAAAGAATACATGTAACTTGAGGATTTTAATGTGAAATTTGTATATCTAGCTCTGGTCACCTCTTAATAGTTACAGCAACTGTAACAATAAATGTTTCTTACATGATTACAGCTGTATTCAGAATTATTGGATACTTTCAGGTATGTCTTATCAGGGAGGATGCACTTTGTCAGATATATCAGTCTAGAAATCCCTGAAAGCTTAACTCTTTACACCCTAACATCAACATGCATATTCTCCATACTGTTGTCTATACATTTTCTAATCATGTGCTGGCAAGGAGAATTTGTTTAACAATCAAGAGGATCTTCAGTTGATTATCATTTCCTTTATTCTCATGTTTGATTCAGGGGTGATATTGAAAGGAGAAATTACATGCTAGTACCTCTCAGAGATTAAAGGTTAAATAACAGCATGTATCCTCACTGTGAAGCCAACTTTGTGGAAATCTGAGATCTGGAAATGCATATTTGACTTGAAATAAATTCTTTTATTCCCCCCCCCCCCTCCCATCCTAAATTTGCTTCAGAGTCATAACATACTTGCTTCAAACTATCTTCAAAAATGGACAACTGTGAACAGATGCAAAAATTCTTTTTAAATCAAGTTGAACATAAATTCACAAGAGTACAACAATTCTTGAACACTTTTCTTGACATTAAAATGCAACGGATGTTTCTCCCCTGTAATTCAATGTTTTATCACTGCTATACCCTCTAGTTGATTAATTTCTCAATTCTCTGAACATGCCTGCTTGAAAATGAGTCACAGGGAGAATTTACTTAAAGGTGAAGGAGATAAAGTGTGAGTCGATGGATTGGCTCTGATAGTAAAGGATACGCATTGGAATTAGAGTGGGCATCAGCAGCTTTCTTGAATGCATCAGCAGCTCTGTCATAAGATTTGGCAGTTTTGAAACATGTTCCTATAAGAACACAAAATATTAAACCAAATTAGCAAGCATTAAACTCTGTCAAATCAAAGAAATTTTTGTCAGTGGTTTCAATCTTGCACATACCTGATAAAGAAATACAAAGATTGCTAATTATAACAAAGTGAAAGGGATGCAGGGAAATGTGTTGCTCATAAATTTTGGGAGTTTATTACTTCAACATGATCTCATTTTACCAGAAAGGTCAAAATAATGTATTTAATATGAGACCAGAACACACTCTGTAGTGTCCTGGTTTCTTCACATTGGCTACAACAGAGTAAATATAAACATAAGAGACAAACAACAGAGTAATAATGCTTGAGCTTAATAAAAAAAAAATCCTGAGAAACTAGTGTTTAGCATGCTACCAACTTTTCATTTATCTCTTCACCATACACTTTCTTTCTAAGGAGTAAATAAGTATCTTTCACAGACACACACTGTAATCTGATGACTCATGACTTAGGTCATATTTCAACATTCTACCAGAAGAGAAACTTCCACAAATAAAATAGTAAATCCATCAATCTCATTATTCTACTATTATGTTATTTTACCATATAAGGGCAATGGAATGCGCAAAATGTTCCAGGGTAATACACTGTAGAACAGGGGAAAGAAAAATGGACAGAAACTAAGCATGCAATAATTGATTTCTTTTTCCTATTTTAGATGTGATTTTTTTTAGCAACAAACTCTAGAGCCCATAAGTATTTTTTGGGTCATCAACAACACTTATTTTATACATGGTTTCTTGTGTGTTGTTTTCTTCTTTCATGCACACCTTATGTGATCAGTACAATGGTCAGATAAGACCATATGAAGTTTGAAAGATAGAAGCCAAAAGACTAGAAAATGAGATAATAAAGGAATAATAAACCCCTTATTTCATGGTTTTACATGTAATACAAGTAGACATTTTCATTGCTCACTGCTTGTACTTTTCCTCTTACCAAGGGGCTTGGAAAAAATACTGCCCAACTCCCACATTATCAACATACATTATGTCTTAAACCATTGAATAAGGTGCATATATACTATGTAAACTCCTAAAGAATCTGCACAGTTATAAATATGTTTAACCATTGCACAACAACAAGGATCTATTCAATTATCATATACCAACATAACTAACCTGGAAAATATTATTTGGTAGCATCAGAAATAATCAAGATAGGGCAAGATCAAAAATAAATTGAATCATGAATGAGATTAAACTAACTAATTCATTGATTAACAACTTTTAATGACAAAAGCCTTGAGACAACTGATATATTTCAATATACTGGGCAAATTTTACTCCTTGCCATTTTTTAAATACTATGGCTTTAAATAAAGAAATGTTGTATTTTTTATCTCTAGGAACTTGCTTCATTTAACAACAAATAGGATAAGCAAGGAATCATTCCACCTGGTTCTTCAATCAACTGTCTTCAAGACCTTTGCCAGTAGTTTTGCTTGGTAAAGGCAAGGAATGCTACAAACAACATTTCTTAGTGTCATCTACAGAAGAGCATGTCATTCAACCCTTCAATACTGTTGATGTAAAAGACTGTAACTCCTCTTAGATGAAAGACTGCCTTGTCATTCTAAGATAAAAAAAATCATCTTGTTTACCTACAAAAGAGAAAAAGCACTCACCAGCTTTCATGTATTTATCTGCTGCACTGTCCCAGTCAGGTTTCCATTTTAACCAACTGGTCTTTTCACTACAACATATTCCAGATATGAAATTTTAGGTTGACAAGATCTTTCTTTCTGTTCCATTACAGATCTTAGAGTAGGGATAGGAGATTTTATTGCTAATTTGACAATATATTAAAGGGTCCTTGAGTGTTGAAGAGTCTCTACTACCACAGTTACCATGCAAAACAGAATGGTGAAAATGCAGCTTCCCAAATGCACCAAGTGTTTTACTTGCCTGTTGGCACCACAGTCTCTTTGCAAAGATGATCAAAGTCTTACTAAACAATTTGCCAACTTAATTATAATTAATGGCTAGAAATATATGAAAATCATATATGTGCACTGCGGTGAAGAAATGAGATATAAGCAATCCTTGCAGCTTTGAACACTACTGAACTAATAGTTGAAATGAGACCTGAAAAAAATTCAAGCCCATACAGGATTTGAACCTATGACCACTGCAATACCGGTGCAGTGCTCTACCAACTGAGCTAACAAGCCAACTGGGAGCTGGTCATAATGTTGGATCCAAATAAACCTTCCAAGTGGTGAATAATGACTGGAAATATAAATAATATATATATATATTTTTTTTTTCAGGTCTCATTTCAACTACTAATTCAGAAGTGTTCATAGCTGTGAGGATCGCTTATGTCTCATTTCTTCACTGCAGTGCACATATATGATTTTCATATATTTCCTGTCATTATTCACCACTTGGAAGGTTTATTTGGATCCAACATTATGACCAGCTCCCAGTTGGCTTGTTAGCTCAGTTGGTAGAGCACTGCACCGGTATCGTAGAGGTCATAGGTTCAAATCCCGTACGGGCCTGAATTTTTTTCAGGTCTCATTTCAACAACTAGTTCAGTAATGTTCATAGCTGCGAGGATCGCGTATATCTTATTAATTGTAATTTTTAAACTGATGGTATTGAAATTGACTTTCTCGGTTTCTGGTATAATTGAATTAGTTATTTTTAAATTAGACTGACTATAAATTGAGCAAGAAAAAATATTTTTCGTCTCCTTGTCTTAAATCCATCCATCTCAATCATGAATATTTGGACCGATGCATTTCCGACAATTCAATATTTTAGGGGAGCGAAAAAAAGGTGAAAGCTAAAATCACAGAAATAACAGATTCACCCTGTTTATCATATCCTTTCAATAAAAAAGGGATCACTCACAATTTTTCAGCCTCTTTTAACAACCGAAGACCTTCTTGTAGTTTTCTTTCCTGCAAAGCCGCCATATTGATTCTTTCGCTAAACCGCTGGCTATTGAGTTTGCATGCTTGCCCTCTTTCTAGGGGGTGGGGGAGGGGACCTTGCAGCAGGTTAAAACTTCGGAAGGGCTTTCGTGGGTTCCAAACGAGAACTAAGGTGTTTATTAGAGAGATTTAGAAGTCTTCTATTGCATAGAGGAGTGATTTTCTGAGCTGGAGAGAGAGGGTTTCAGCTTGTCAGAGAGTTCACAGCTAAGAAGCCAGCGATTCTTTCAGACTTTCTTTTTTGGTTCCTTTTTCTCGTTTGCTTTTCACAAAAATTGTGTTATTAAAGTGGGTAAGCAAGGTAGATTAACAAAAGTGAAAAACAATCGCTGAAGGTGTCTTCGATTCGCAAAGGATTAAAGACATCAAACTGAGCTGCCTTTGTCTCTTCGCTCCAGGGTATGCTTAGGTGTTTTATTTCGGTAAGTTTAACATAAGTAAGCTGAGTATTTTTGTCAACAAACCCGTGTTTACAGCTTAAGAATATTGTAAATTCAGAGCCGTTCCAAGGCAAGCAGTCGACTCAAAGAATCATGGAAGCTTTAAACCTTTTTGTCGACATGCAAGACCACAACAAAACGCGTACATTTTTCGTGACAAGTATTTGCGACGTGCGTCTTTGCGAAGAAAAAAATGCCCTTTCTGAGTCAACTAATTGGGACAGTTACTATGGCACCTTTGTAATTTCGTGACATACGAAGATTTTGACCAATTGCTGTTCGTTTCAGTTGTCCTGGGAATATTTAGTACAAAGAGACGCTCACCAGCTGCTTGCTTTCACAAGACTACCTAATCCAGCAGTATTTCCTGGGAGGAACCTCTTCTTGATTTTTCCTTTCATTGCTAAACGTAAACGAAAAATGTCCGACGAAGAACTAAAGACGGTGTTTAAATCTTTCTGTGCTTTTGGGGCAGGGAGTAAAGACGCTCAACCTGAGATGGACAACGCGAAATTTGCAAAACTTTTTCGTGATCTAAAATTATACGACAAAAAATTCACCTCCACAGACACAGATATTATTTTCAACCGACCCGAAGTAAAAAAGTAAGAACGAAGTCCACCCTTTTTTTCAACAAAAAAATATGTCACTTCTTGCTTTTGTTAACATTTAACTATCCTCTTGCAGCAAGACGGAGCGGAAAATTCGCTTTGAAGGTTTCAAGAAAGCTCTGGAATTGTGTGCAGAGAAGAAGTATGGAAACAAAGACGATGTGCAGAAGTTGATCGACAAGATTTGCGGTGGAAAAGGTCCAACAACCGTCGGAGCTACGGTAAGATAATGTGAATTGTTTTATTTATCAACAGATACGGTTTTGTAATTTACTTACTTCAGGTACGAGACTAATTGTGATAACTTATTTTCTTTTTGAACTATACATCATAAGATATTTCTGTCATCCCCTTCCTCGTGCTCCTTACGTAGGTTATAAAGTGAAATAACCATTTTCTTCTCTAGTCGCGTCAATAATGATTATGTTAGTAAGCGCCCTCGGATTTCCATCGAACGTTCTCGATTGGTTTCTTTATGTCCTCAAGTAATCATAATTAATTCAAATTCCTGGGTTACAATGTACTATTTAACCAATATGGATAGCTGATAATTAAAGAAACTTACATATGAGAATCTATATCAATATTTCGATCATATTGAAAATTTTCCTCAAATCGTTAATAATATTTGTATTGATGTAGCTCTACATCTCCAAGAATTATCGTTGTCAGACTTGAAAAGGCTATCATTGTCGTTTGTAAATATTTGCCAAACTTTTCTTGAGGAGCGAACCATGGATGGTTTCGGTTTCAAGAATCTTTCAAGGTTGAAGAGATGCAAAATAATTTTCTCCTTGTATTTTTGAAAAATCCTATACCAAACGGTTTTTGATGCTTTGATGGGGGGTGGCACACCACTTATGGGAAATTTTATCTAGCGTTCTGCTGCTAAGGATTTTAAAGCCTAGCATTGAAAGTATTTCAAGTATTTCATTCAGTGTGCTACTCCCACTAACCACACAGAATGTTTGGAATTGGATTTCAAAAGTTGCCCAAAACCAAACTTTTGTTGGAAATGGAGATGACTGCAAGCCTCCAGGTTTACACCCTTTTCAAGGCTTCTGGTTCACCAAGATACCCTATGCAAGAGGTTGAATAGGGAAGGGCTCAAGACCCTGATAACCAGACTGCAAATATCAACTCCTTTTTAAATAACTGACTTGCGTTCTGTTATTGGGTTGTTTGCAGAAACAAAGTAAGACAGGTGGAGTTGATAGAATGACTGACACCTCAAAATACACTGGATCGCACAAAGAACGTTTTGATGAGGGTGGAAAAGGCAAGGGAATAGAGGGTCGCGTAGACAGGGATGAAAAAGCTGCTGAAGGCTATGTAGGGGGTTATAAAGGAAAAGATACTTATGATAAGAAACATTAGAGCAGAAGTTGTAACACAGGCTCTTTTATACCATAGTGTGTGTGCTTGATTCACTTTTAGAAGTTTATGTTTGACATTATAAAATGTAAACAACGTAGAAACATTGATATTTTATCAGGATTGTGTGTTACCACTGGAGTGATCAGATTAATTTGTTTGGATTAGCCTTACTGACAGGGTCTTCTCTAATTAACCATGTGAAATTATTCGGTAGTTGGGAGCTTAATTTATTGGCAATATAGGGCAACAACCCTGGCAATTTTTAATAATATAAATTTTAAATCAAAGTAGCAAATGAAGTTAACAGATCTTACATGCAGTTTGAAGAAGAGTTTCTAATTTAAATGCTCATAAGGATGTGATAAATTGTTGCATACTACCTTGTATCAAAACGACAAAAAAGTAGTACAATCATGGTAGGTTGTGTGAAATTATTCAGTGGTTGGTAACTTCAGTGGTTATGTGAAATTATTCAGTAGTTGGTAACTTATTTTATTTGCAATGTTGGACAGTGACTTTGGAAATTTTTATTCATTAAAATTTTAAATAAAAGCAGCAAATAAAGTGAACAGATCGTACATGCAGTTTGAAGCAGAGTTTCTAATTAAAATGTTCATAAGGATGTGATAAATTGTTCCCCACTACCTTGTATCAAAACTATAAAAAAAAGTAACAAGGATGGTTGGTTATCAGCTCCCCAGTTTAAATGTTTAATTTGTGTCATTGTGTGAGGGGAGAAGAAATAACAGAGGGGGCTTCAAATCTTGGAAAAAAAGTTTTTGAATAGAAACCAAAAGAAATCAAAACTGAAGTCTTGAGCAAGTTTCTATATTTTGGTTGCTTCATCACACATTTGGGGGCCTAAAGCCATTAACATTGTAAACAGAAAATACTTTGAATCCTCACCAATACTTTTAGCAGCTGTAGTGTGAACACTATCCACTAAATTAGACATAAGTACATCCAAGAGTTGTGGGTGACAGTCTGGTGGAATCTCCCTGAGTGACAACCAGACCAAGGAGTCTAAGAATGAGTGATGCAAATAACCCACACCATTGCATGTGAGTTGTTCCAACAGAATGAAACCAAACTCCTGTCTAGGCTAGATGCCTATTAACTCTTTCTTCCAAAAGGGTGGTGCTCTCTCAAGGTTGGGTGCTTTAGCAAATAAATATGTTGTGACAACTGACTGGAGTGATCCTTATAAAGAAAAACAAATGAAACTAAGAAATAAGTTATCATGACCAAACATCTTCCCTGTATACAATTTTTTGATCAGTTCAAAACTTTATTGTAATATACTGTATGCATACACACTGGTTTGACATGATTGTTTTACAAGCAGGGATGGCAAACTAGCATCTGAGAATCAGGCTGACCTACTGATGATTGGAAATAATAAATAAAAATTAATGTGTGTAGGTATGTACAGCCCCCAGGCACAGAAAGATACAAAGACAGTGATTATAATAATGGAGTGTTTACTAACTTGACATGCACATAATGCCTGAAAATATGAAGTCCTGTAAAATCAAATAGAATTGTAATGAAAAAGTTTTACATTTCAAGCTTTTAATTTAGGACATGAGTTTAGACTTTCATTACAAGTTACAGTTCATAGGGTCTTCATAAAGTTTTAGACACTCATTTAGAAATACTAAGCAAAAATTGACACATGAACTTCACATTAAAATGCTATGTAATATTTCTTCGCTTCATTAAATATGTTATTTTGCAAGCAAACATCTTAGTTTCTATATGAAGGTTATCTAAGGAAGAGATATCTGTTGTAGAACAATAGGCTCCAGTGATTGTCTTAATGTTACTTGACACTATTTGGTAACCAGTCGATAGTCTTTTTAAGATTATCATAGCTCCAGTGCATCTGGTGAACTTCATGTTGATGGCGCTGCCGTGCCTCATCCAGTTCCCGCAGCAAATGGTCATTTGTAGATACTAGTGATCTGGGTGAATCAAAAGAAGAAGAAATACTTTAACAAACTTGACTCAGATCATGAACCCATGACCCATTTTCAATTTGTCAGTTAACACCTTTACATTAACTCATCCAAGTGGAAATGGCTGTGTATACTGTGGTAAGGATAAAAAATTGCAATGTTCAGTGGTGTATACAAATTTAGCATTTGTAGCTTTTAGACAGAGAGCTTCTTAAAGATGCATTTAGCCCTTTAACTCCAATGGCCAAGAAAGAATATCTCCTCACAATGTCAATACAATACAATATCCCATTCAATACAATATTAAGCAGACAAGTGATAGGAAAAAAACCAAATTCTCCAAATCAACATCATAAGAAGTTTATAGCAGAAAGTAAGGAGAATTACTTTTGAGAGATTTTTTTTTTTTATCCAGATTTCTAATTTCTTTGGCTGCTTGCAGTCAATTTTTCTCCAAACTCTTTACACCCTAACAATAGTATACATATTATCCATACTTTTCTCTTTACATTTCCTAGAAAAAATGACTGTGAGAATTTGTTTTACAATCAAGAGCTTCTTAAGGTGGTGATCATTTCCTTTATTCTCGTGACCTTAGAATTTGATTCATCAAAGCTTGTGAAAGGAAAATTAGATTCTACCCACTCTTTGGGGTTAGAAGATTAATGCAGAGACAGAGTTCAGACCAGAACAGAAAAGAATGAACAAAGATGGTGACATCAGATGGGGTGTCAACCTCCTCCTCTACATGCACAATGACCAGCATTCACTGTGGGGTAGTGTTTTCTTTTTTTTCATTGGTACAGCCAGCAAAAAGTACTGCCCTAACATTTTTCCAAGGTGATTTGCACTAAGAAATTCATTCACTTTCTGCAACAAATATATCTTGAGTTGATCAATTTCACAAGTGTGCTGTACCTGTGGCTTTCTTGTAGCATGTTTGTGAGCTCCTGTAATTGCTCCAGATTAACATTTTGTTGTTGAACTTGTTGGCTAAGAGATTTAACTTGTTCCTGAAGTGAAAGATTTCTTTGTTGAAGCTCACCTATTGGAGAAACAATATCATGTCAAATCCATTTAAGCTTCCTCATCAGTTGGTCATAAACCAATTTGCTTGTTGCTGATAGAGGAAAAACTTGACATGCAGCCACAAGTGCTTATCTATTAAAAGATGTATGTATCTGGTGTAGTTAAAGTAGTTGGCTTCTTAAAGCAGCATAGTGTCTCTTTATATCTGTTGTTAATGGTCAAGAACATTTTGTGACAGCTCTGGAACTGATTCTTTCTCCTTTGCTTTGATAATACATGAGGGACAAGCATGGTGAACTATTCAGTCAGGTTCTGGATTGCAGGTGATTGAAAGCAGGATTGCATCATGACATGGTTGACCCCAGAAAGAAGCATGCATTTACATATGATGACAATTTATAATTGTTACCTGGAAGTATTCTCCCTAACTTTTCACTCCTAAGATTTACCTATCTTCCTTACTGTCTGCTATACATTTCTCATTACTTCAGTTCTGAGAATTTTGTGTCAAATCAAACAATTTTCATTTGTTGATATTTTTTCTCTATTCTTGTTTGAAAATATATGGACATTGTTAGGAGAAACTACTGCTTGCTTACTGAGTAAGCAAACAGTAAATTATCAGTGGAGGATACGAAGGGATTTAAATAACTTTCTTCAAATCAAGGTGGCTGTTATTACATAAAATCCCCTCAAGTAGCAGAAAATCACCTTACAAAGCTTTGTATACAGTTGTAGATTGATAGTAGTCTGCTTAGTAGTGATTGGAGGGCTTGATCAAGTTTGTTTGTGGTAAGATGCCCCTCTATTTAAGACTGATGGTAACACAATGAAACACAGCTGCAGCTGTGGCCATGAACATCAGAGTTTGCATTTATTGGGAGACATGCTTATACCAAATTGTACTCTTTCACTTGAAAGCATTACATTACTGATGTATACCATATATGAGATAATGATTGCAGTTTATTGTCAGTATGTATCAAGAGGTTACAAAGAGATTCTTACATTACCTATAAGTTTTTCTTGCTCTGAAGCACCATGTGAGGCAACCTCTAGGGCAGTTATTTTAGATTGTAGGGCACTATTCTCCTCCTGAAACTCTAGAAGTCTTGATCTCACAGAGGCCTAAACAGAAAGTGAAATTTAAGAATCTTTGCCAGATACTTTTTATTCAAGGCTATGGGCCCTAATATAGTACACTGAAGTTTTCATTTGGAACCAAAAAAAGATTAACATGATAAAAGTTTTAATTTTTTTTTGTAAATATGTACTCACTTAATAAGTGCTGGAGAGACAAACTTAAATGTTTTCTATCTTATTTGTTGAGGAAGTGGCTCAAGTAATCTATACAAATCACAAATTGTAATTATAACTTGAAACCAAGTATATTCACAGTTTATTTGTAACACTCCAATGTAATTCATTGCTGCAGTTTATAGATAAATTAATTACAGAGTAAGCATTCCCAACAAAGTAGACAACAAACAAACCAGTTCGTATGAGGCAGCATCAAGTGAATCCTTTAATCCTTGGTGGCTTTTTAGCTTGTTATGCAATTGTTCCATGTCAGTCTGTTGTTGTGACATTTGGTCACGTAGTCTTGATATTTCTGCTGTTCTTTCCTTCAGTTCTTTTTGTACTTTATCATTATCATGTGACGGTGTCAAATGAGCTCTTTCCATGGAAGGTGGTAAGTAGGAAGAAAGAAGTTTTTGAGCAAGACCTGCAAATTGCAAGAAAGGTAGAGACTGTGAAAATTTTGCAACAAAAACATTCAATGAACATTTTGTCATTGATACACTATAATTCTCTCATAATACACTTAAGCCAACAACTAGCAGTAAAACCGTGCAGAGTAATCAACACTGCAGGCTAGCTTTTGGCTTTTTAATATGTTTCTAGGTTTTAATGAGACTCAAATTCTGTTTATAGGAAAACTCTGCATTTGACAACCTTTGAACTAATTCTTAATTGTTAGTTTTTCTTTCCCTTGGATATTCAAGAAAATGATTTTATCTTTAAATTATACCCATTACTTGTTTCCTCTGGTGAGAACTATAATACCAACACAAATGTTAAGTCTTCTTTAGTGTTGAACTCACTCTGAAACTTTGAATGATGATGAAGTGATTTGGATCCATTCCAGTACCTGTGTAAACAGTGAAAATATAACAAATTACCTACACTGTCTCACATAATATAAAACTAATGGGTGCTACTCATAACCAAAAGAGTAGTTTAAATTATGTGTTTACATAGCATCATCTAAACACAGGGGTGGTTGGAAGAATTAAGTAAAGTTATGCAACCTCTAACTTTCATAACTTTTAAGATTTCTGCCACCCTCCCTCCCCCTTTCAATATGTCTTTAGGTGGGGCTAACTAAATGTATGTAAACATGGAAAAAGTACTTAATCACATATAATGCAAAGGGATCCTGCAAGATTACCATTTCACCCAATCCTTGAGGTTGCTTCCCTCACAAAATAAAGGCAATATGCCTCAAATAAAATTGTCATAGGCTGTAACCCTTACTTGTCCACTAAGTCAAGAAGTTTGTTTAAGAGTTCTTCTTGATCTAAAGACCCTGATGAGTCCGTAATATCCTGTAAAAATCAAAGAGAGTAAGGATATCCATTATAAAAATTATGTAGTTGTCACCTAAAAGCAGTTACACAGCAGAAGAATGCCACTGACAGAACACTGTGTATTGACAATTTAGGTACATGCTCAGTGATTAACTTCAACACTAAAACAGTTAAATCTGTGGGACACATGTTATGAGAGAAATGATTCAGTTATTAAAATACATTGTAATATTGGTATTCAAAGGGCCCATGTCTTATATGCGGTGATCATAGTACTTACAGTGTATCTCAAGACCCTTGTACAGCAAGTTTTTACAACTTTAAACATCAATTTATCCCCTAAAAAGTTCCTTAGATAAATATCTCCTTCAGACAAATCTACAGATCTGTGCTCATATGTTAATTAAAATGAAAGGAACAAAGACTTTATAAACTTCCTCCATTGTATAGGGCTGGCCCATACAAAAAAAAAAAGTAAAAGTAAGCATGTGGTACTGCTCCTTCCAAATTAAGCATGGTAATCTGAACACACCATTCTGTTAGTGATAAGAACTGCAGTATAGATATATTCTGCCAGTTCTATACTGAGTAAATTCCTTTACTGAATTCCATGTCATAGTATTTTACACGCATTAAAGAGACCTTTATGAGTAATAAACACTTGTAAATTTTTAAACTGAGCAGTCTGGTATGTGCCCAACATAGGCCATCTTCATCAATCTAATGTACATGTTGTGGTTCAGATGTTTTCCCTCATAAAAAATTTTCAAATTGAAACCAGTTTACTATTTATTCATACTTGTTGGAAAAATGTTTATGTAGGAAAACATTTGAAGATGGAATTTGAGAATAAAAACAACATGGTTTCTGTATGCAACGAACCCATGCTACTATTAGTACAACACTTACCATTTTTGTTGAGTTTGCAAAAGAGTCATGTGTTGGCATCTCTCTTTTGTTGCTTATATCATCTCCTGGACCCAACTTGTCCGCAAGAGGTCCTTGAGATTGTTTAGGAGATGGTTGTAGTCTTCTAGAGGGTGACAGTTCATATGACCTTGCTGACAATGGTATACTCACATCTTGTCCTCTTTCTTGTGATCTGGGAAAGTCACCCTTGACAGACCTGTCAGATATAGGGTCTTCTAGGGCATGTCTTAGATCATGTGACCAAGTGTTCCCACTGGGTATTGTATTATGATTTGTTGCCCTTGGATTTGGTGTGAAATGTCCTCTTGTAGATATTGTTGTGTAAGCATTTGTTTCATCTGTGTATCTTAGATTTGGATCATCAGCTGGTCTCATTTTATCATCTGCAAAGTGAACATACACTCTATCCTTGTGTGGTCTATAATCCTGAGAAGAGTCTCTTAGATCTGTCTTGTGTCTAGTAGGTCCTGCCATTGATGGAAGCATCTTGTGGAGTTCTACAGATTGAAATAGAGAAAAATGAGCAGATTGAAATACAAGATCTGTTTTTTAAAATTGTTTCTAAAAAATGATATTTAAAAATTTACAATTGTGCCACACTATTACCCAGTATAAAAAAATTGCACAACTTCCCTTGTAAACAATTTTTTGCATCAGAGGTAAACTACCCTATGCAGTCACATGGTTGATGTGGACTTGTATCATGATGATTTTAAGTAACAGTTACCTTGACTGAGTGAGCTCAAAAAGAAATTGATGGTAACCATGGATTGAAGCTAAGTCAAAGTAACGAGAAACTGGGAAAGAGTCATAGCAAAGGGGTCAAAATTTTACAGCTGTCCTAAATTACATTTACATTAAACTAGAACTTAAATACAAATTGCCAGCAGTTGTTTAATTTGAAAGTACAGCCCAGATTATCTTAACATTTTCATCTCAAACAAACTTTTATGCATCCCATAAGACAAATTTATTTACAATGTGTCATTTTCCTACATTAAAAACCATTTGAAACACAAATATGAACATGAAGACTTGAAATTGTTTGTCACTTCCCTGTTGGGCTATTGGGGTGTTTCATATGGTGCTTATTCAGACTGTATTGCATTTACTTTCATTGCAATTTTCAGCCACTTTCAAAATTCTCCATTAATCTCACTCTGATTCCATGATTTTCCAGGTTTTTACTGACCTTTGTGAAACCAACATTTTTGCAAATATTATCAGGCATTGACCTAATTGACATTGTTATTTGGAAACCAACCAACCATCTCTAGTATAATCTTCAGTATCAGGTACCCTAGCTGCTGAGCCAGAGATCGCTTTTGGCTGTTTTAAGTCTCCACCAGTGCGTGTGATAAGATCAAGGACTGCCACATCGTCTTCCTCTAGCACTTAAAATAATGAAATATTCGTCAGAGGATGTTGTGCCCACAGAGGTAAACACGAAAGGAAATTTTATAGGAACCCCCAATTATTTTGAAACATGGCCAGACCTCAACAGCAGGGGCTAAGTTATATCGCCATCATTTGAGATTTGCAGATGTTATAGCAAA